CAGGATGGACCAGAAATGGGATATCAGACAGTGAAATTCCAAGTTTTCTGAAGTGACGTCCCCAAGATTTTTACCCTGTATTTTGAGGTTACATTCTATTACTTCTGATTCTAAAAAGTTATTAAAAATTAGTGTCCTTGATTTTTTTTCTTAGCATCCTTCTTTTCTAAGGCTGTTCCCACAACATTGAGCTGTATTGTTCTTATCTCTCGTATGAGCAGACAATGCTGTGTCTGCTGCAGCGCTGAAAGGCTGACTCTGGATACTCACAGGGCTCTCTCGAGCTCTGATTCCAGTTCCAGGCTGGGGCTCTCTCAAACTCTGATTCCAGTTCCAGGCTGCCTCTTTGCTTATTTTCAAAAGGTAGCCTGAAATTAGAAGGACCTGGAGGTGTGACCGCCCACTCATCACAGGGAGATACTAACTCCAAGACTAATCATGATGTCCCTGTACCTGGCAGCAAGGTTAACCACGCTATTGAGCCAGAAACAGCAAATTTCTTTGGGCTGGGCAAATGACACCATTTCTAGAATGTTCCATCATTTCTAAAGGAGCTGTCCAGGAGAGAAAGAGTGTAATGATGGCTCCAAAATGTGCAGGACATCAAGACTTTTGCCCCAAGAAAGAAGTAGATTTTGAAAAAGCCAAACTTCAAGAGAACTGGTGGTAATTCACAGGGAAAGAGGTGAATAAAAAATTTAAGGCACAGAAACAATCAGTCTGACTTGCTCACATAATTGAATATTTATTTAAATGGTAAGCATGGCATGAAGACAGATGCATAATGGGGAAATCCCCTTGCAGTTTGAGGGATTTTTCAGTTCTGTTTCTGTAATGGCAAAAAAAAAAATACAGGTTTCTTAGAACAATACATCAAAAATGCACCTTTGATCTGACAGTCTCGTTTATACTAAAATGCAAACAATAGTCTCCCATTTGCTTTTCCCTATGGCGTAAATATGTAACCCCTTAGTCAGAATGAAATCATTAGGCGTAGGACACATGGGGAGAGTTAGTTCTTTACAACAAGGTCTTGATGTTGCCTGCTGTTTCTGAACTTGTCACTTCAGAACAAAGTTAGCCACAGTAGATGCCAGCAGCTGGCAGTGGGGTGGTCCATTTAGGCATAAACCCTCAGAGAATACATGGGCTGTAGAGAATTGAAGAACAATGATAAATCTAGTTGTAAGACAGCCTGCCTTAGGTCATTGCCAAGAGCCTGTGATTTGGATGACTCCGTTATTCACACACTTCTCTCTGCAGGGATAGTCAGCTTCCTGGGTCTACACTCCTTCTCTAGCTCCCAGTGTATAGAATGAGGCATGGGCTTCAATATGTAAGAGGGTGTCAAACGTTCTAAAATGATCCTACCTAAAAAGCTAAGGAAGTAAAGTTCACATGGATTTTAAATCCACCATGGAGCACATCTAATGAAAGGATAATAAAGCTCATTCTTACAGGGCACTCACTGTGTACGAATCAGTGGCTGAGGCTGAAGATACATACTGAGCAAGCCAATACCACCCAGCCCTTGGTAGAATCACAAACCACACCCTGTACTTTGTCAAGTCTGAGAGGACAGAGTGGAGACCTTGATTTGGGCAGCATGGTGCAGAAGGGCCCTTTTGAGGAACTGATACCTTCGTTCTTCCAAGATTTTTTTGCCAAGACCAGAAACCAAGAAAGAAATGGTGAAGATCTTTGCTCATGAGCAGCTGATGATATAAACTTGGATTTTTAGGGTAAGACCTGCTGCAAGTGCCATATCCTGAACTCTTCCGGCCTTGCACAGTGGGGTGGGGCCTGGTGAGAACATTCTGTCCACTATGCCAAGAATGTCCCTTGTTACCTGTAGGTGTTCTCCTTACAGCAGTGGTTCAGGCAGCTGTTTGTACCTCATAGCCACCCGAGAACTGTGAATTAGAAAAGCCACCACATTCAGGTCTTATCCTGCACCGATTAAATAAAAATCTAGGACAGGTGGGAGATTGGTCAGTATGTTCAAACAAAACAAACCCAGATGATTCTAATAGGCGTTTATAGCAGAGGATTATAGTCCTAGATGAATGCACTTAGTCCTACTTAGTCCTGTCATCAACATTTCCATTTTCACATCAAAAGTCTCCAAAACACGAAGAGGATTGCTTTGGGGAGATGTGTAAGCATTCATCCTACACATACGCATGGAGCTGTGGCATGTGGTGGAAATGCAATGAATTGATGGAGAATGGAATTCCTTGGACTCGGGAGTCAGCTTAAGCATCAAAGGGTCCTAGGCCACCGGCGTTTGATGCAGACATAAACAGAGCAGCTCCAAAGAGAAACAAGTTTCTGACTTTTCCCTCCATACTTCTCAATGCCCCGTGCTCCTGCTCCTTTTTCTGCACTGTTGCTTTATTCAGAGCCTCACTAATTATGAGGCTTTATGTGAAATTGCTGGCTCCTTTGAGGAAACACACTTGCATGTTAGATAATGGGGTATTTTTGGTCCTTTAGACACATAAAAAACATTGTGAGCACCTTACATGTAAGTGGAATGAATGTATTTTCGCCACTAATGTTGAAAATATCCCTAGGCATCTGGTGTGTATGAATGTGTATACATAGTACATGCATAATAAACATATTCCACCTTATGAATATTTATACACAAGATCCATATATATTGAATATAGGCATACATATGTAAATAGTAGCCCCTGTAAATTATATGCACAGTATGTTTCCAAGCATATGCATCATAGTGCATTGGGAATGGAATAAACCTACCATCAAGTTTAGCATATTTTGAGGTGGCATTTTCTACAGAGTTGTTTAGGGTCTGATTTCTACTCATGTCTGGCTTTCTTTTCTACACTTAAATGTTTGTTAAATACTAACTGAAAGTAAGGCACTAGACATGGCAGATTTTGAAAGATAAAATGTAGTACCCACCTGTAGGACACCTATACCTCAAGGCCAACAGTGTGCTGCAGATCAGGCTGCTGCCTAAGATCCCATATGAACATTCTTCAAGTCCAAACTGCTCTGGTTTTCATCTAGCTCCCTGCTAGTTCACCTGGGAAAGACATGGAAGATGACCCCAGTACTTGGACCCTGCTACCTATGCGGGAAACTCTGATAGAGTTCTTGGCTTCTGACGTTGGGCTAGCCCAAGCCCCAACGTTTGTGAGGTCTTTTGGGGAGTGAACCAGCAGATGAAAGATTCTCTCTCTGTCACACACACACACACACACTGCTCTAACTGGCTGTAACTTTCAAATAAATACATTTTTTTAAAAGAGACCTATGCTTCAGATTTGCTTAGGATTTTGCTAGGAGGACTTTACTATTACAGCTGCCCACTGGCATCTCAGTGCTTTCTCAAACTGGCTTTGCTGCCATGCAGGGCTGATGCAGGGAGAGAGCACCTGTGTGCCTTGGTGCCTTTCTAACCACCAGACATGGACAATGCTAATACTTTCTTCTCTGTCACCGATAGCCAATTCTGCAGCTGCATTATTTGACCTCAATTTGGTGCAGGGAAAACAAACAAAAAAACCAACACATTAAGAAGTCTCCAAGTCCCAGAATGTTTATAAATCTTGAAAATGAAGCTCAATCCAAGCTATTTCTTTTTCCCATGAACTTCTTGTCACTCTACTATGGAAATGACTGTAGTATTCCATTTACCACTTGCATCAAGTTCCCTCCTTGTGACAAGTAGCAGAGCCTTTATTTTTAATAAAGCAAGCTATACATTCTAATGTGTGCAAGATATAGATCCTTGTTGAAACCGACAACCCTTGTTCCAGCCAGTGAGCTCTGAGAGGTACTGGTTGGGGCAGATCTCACTCTGTTAAACAAGAAACTATACAGATGCGTTGTCATTGCTATGCCTTGGATGTCTCCTCATTGTTTTCTCCTCTTCAATCTATACATCCCAACAGGTAGTTTTCAGTTGTTCCCTTGGTGCCAGACATACATTTTATCTAAAGAGACAGCAGACAGAACTACCTGCTGCTTCCTAAGTGTGGCTCTCCCTGTGTTTCTCTCCTTTTTCTTACTTTGCTGGGGCTTTTTAAAATCAGCTGGCAGGGAGCCAGGAGCTCATCATTTTAATGCAGTGCAAAATGGAATATGCATAATTATATGCAAGCCATATGTGAGGGAGACAGCTCAGCTGTGAATTTCAGGAGGCCAGGAAAGAGAGAGCAGTTCAGGCTAAAACGAGATGAGAGTAGAGCGGAGTGCAAGTGTCACCCCAATGAATGGTTTAATGAGTGTGCTGCAGACACACCCCCTTTCGCCTGCCTCTCCCTTCCCTCCAACTCCAAGCCAGAAACCAGTGGAGATTAGAAAGAGAAGACTGAATGCAAGTGGTATTGCTAATGGGTTCTGTTAATGTCTCCATTTAAACTTCAGCGTTCTTAATTAACAGTGTAGATCAAAATAACCAGTAACTTTTAATGCAGCTTCTTAATTAAATCTAATTTTTTACTGCATTTGATTAAAGAATCATTGTTCTTACTAGATCATTGCTCCTTTCAGATCTTTACTTAAAAATGGAGAGGAATCAGTTATTACAATGCAAAATATAACTATGCAAATTGCTTTTCTTATGGCCTTGCTATTAGAATTTCTTAAAAATGCATTATCTAGAGATTGCTTAAGCATGCCAAGAAGTTTAAACACGTACGTATGTCATACAATCCTAAATGTGCAATGACCAGAAAACTAAAGTATGGTAATCTCCAACAAAATTATTTGACTTTGGTTTGCTTCATGTTGTTTTCAATATTGCACCACAATGAATTTGCATGTTCAAACTAAACAATATAAAGAAAAACAAATCCCAAATTTTGATATCTAAAAGGCGTACTGCGTATTTAAACAAACTTCTTAATGATGTTGTTATTTCTGGATTCCCGTTTGTTTAATGATCTGAGCTGTTATGCTTATAGCTTTTTTTTCTTCCATTATTTGTAAGTCCCTAAATAGGCCATTATATTTCCCTTCAGGCTAGAGATGAAGATGGACATGCTGAAAATTTTCCCCAGCAGCACTATGCTAAGGAAACTCCAAGGCTTGCCTTCAAGAATAACTGCGAACTACTTGTAAGAATAACATACTTACAACAAGTCTAGAATGTTACTTTAGCACAGTGAAAACAGTTTTTGAAAGGGTTTGTTCATGATTACATAATTTATGAAATATTGTAGTTTTTCTGTATAGAGTTCTAACTGCTAATTCTGCTATCACTGAATATTAATTATAAGCTCTCAAACTGTTTACGCATCTTCGATATCTGGTTGTAGAACTTGAATGGCCCTGTCTTTATCAGCTTGCTTTGTATGGAAGTTGATAGCGCAGCCACTTGGAGAATGGCTAGTGGAGCTGAACAGGTAGAGAAAGAAGGCTGATGTGTGTAGCCTGGGATTAACTCAGCCACGTCCCTCCTCCCGTGTCCTCATTGTGACTGTGAGGAGATGACATTGTAGAATTTTGTTCTGCGAGGAAAGAGAGCGCAGTTGACACGCAGTACTCCCTTTAGAATTCAAGCTCCTTCCCGCCCTTGCCAAACTCAAGTTGCCTCCCCTCTGCAGAAGATTCAGAGCAGTGACAGGATTCAGGATGTTTACAAGTCGTGAGACAGAGGGTATCAGCTGTGACAGAAGCTCTGTTCCAACGCAGGGTTAATTTGCTGTTCATTTTAGCGTTTACAGCGAGGCGAGATGAAAAGCAAGCAGGAATGCCTATTATATTTCTATTAAATGAATCTGTTGGGACCTAATGTTCTTGATTAGCTTTTGAAAATGAGTGCTCCGCAATGCATTTTCTGTTTACCTAAAGTAAACAGAGAATGAATTGTCATTTATTTAGAGATTCAAACACTGCTTTTGAAAATGAAGGTTTATGAGGGCTCGAGCTGTGTTGTCCCCACATGTTCTTTTTTCTTTTCAATTGCATTAGAGCAAAAACATTTGCTCCGACTAAACGAAAATGCCGAGAGAGAGAGAGAGAGAGAGAGAGAGAGAGAGAGAGAGAGAGAAACTGCTAAGTTGTCATGTTTTGAGGAAGTCTAATTTCTATTTCGTTTTTTTGGCCAAACACAGTGCAGCTCAGCCAGGTCTGTGCGTTAGGAAATCCCACATGTAGCAGTCTTTGTATGTAGCTCTGATACCAGCTGTTCATGAAAAGCGAGGTGTCCAAAGGGCAGGAGAAGAGAGAAAAATACAGTTCTTACCCCTTCCAGCCACAGGAGCTAGCTGTGGACAGCGACAGCCTCTGGCTCCCCATTCTGCAATCTCCACAGTTAGCAACAGCACGGCTCGTTCTGTGTGTGGGCAGGCAAATTTGCTGTTGATAAATCTGACTTTCCTTTCTAAAAATTTCACTCACCTTTATATTTTTATTTTAGAGCTCTCATACTTCCAGGCCTGTTAGTGTCACTCATTCAGGGGAAATTCTGTTCAGTGGTTTCTCTTCATAACTATGGCTAGACTTTCGGGGTCATGGATGCTGTGTTTTGCTATCAGAAAGCTTTTGGGTGTAACTTCCTTATTTTTAGAGAAAATGTTAAAAAAAATAATATTCCATAATTCTTTTTTTTTTAATTGGGGGGAAAATGCACATGTTTGAGTCCTGGTTTTGGTCAGTCTGTATTGGAGAAAGTACCTCCTCCATGTGAAACAGCTACCTTTACAGCAAACAGGTGCTGCCTCAGGGCTGTGTTCCAACACAGTGCTGTGTTGGCAGCAGTTTTGGGAGAGTTGTTACGACCCTCCCCCTTCTAGTTTCTGCTAAAAAGGCTTTCTTTGGGTCAGCATGCTTTGCTGCAAGAGAAGAAAAAGTAAAGACAAAAACACTAGTGAGATGATTTCTCCAAAGAAACATTTCATTTTCAGTTGCAGGAAAAGGGATGGTGTTTGGCTGATTGTGACGCCTAGAGAAGTTATATTTCTATATGAAAAAGGGGGAAAGAGAAGTCCTTGGTGTTTTCCTAGCGCAGCTGAGAGCAGGTTTTTACCGAAGCTGTCAGGGAAGATTGCAAGCTCTGCTCCAGTGTGCTTTTGTAGCCTGAATGGGGGTGGGGGACAGTTCTGCCATCTTCCTGCATGGTTCGCTGCAGCCAGAGTAGCTTTCTCTCCCCCACAGAGCTCCTGCACCACAGTGAGAGCGCAGCTGACTTCTGGGCTCCCAGACAACCAGGAGCACGTGGCTGACAGGCTCATCCTCCGGGCCACCCGCACAGACACAAAGTTCCCTGGCCAGGTAGGGGAGATGTGGCTTTGACTTGATGATTGACTGTCGCATGTCTCTGCCCTCCCTGCAGCTTCCCTCCACCCCCAGCCTCTGCTTCTGGGAAAAGAGAGGAATATTAAGTAAGCTAAACAAAAGCAAAGTAAAATCGATGCCTAGAATACACAAGTGTGTGTAATCAGAAGGCACCAACAAAGACAGCATCATCGGCAGAGAGAAAAATCTGCTTTGCAACTGTGGAGTTCCTGTAGGATATTGACTTTCCCATTGAAATCCCAAACTGTGATATGTGCCTTCACACTTAATGTACAACACAGATGACGAGCTGTTTAGCTTGGTGGTCCAGATTCTTCAGTTGGTGATTGCGCAGCAGTTTCCTTATGTCTTTTTAGAAAATTATTATTAATTTTGGAAATTCAAGACTGTCGAGATGAGTGACATTAGATAAACAAGTACTATCTGCTGTATCAGAATTTTGTGTGGCCCCTGCTACCCCTTCAAAGATAGATGTGTGCCGCAAATGTGTGTTTGCATGGACCTACACACACACCCCCCACAAAGTATTTTTCTGGGGTTTAAGAGCATTATGTGTACACTATAGTGATATGGTTTACAAGAGGGAATATTTAGAATCAGCCATGGGTGACTGACTAGCCCTTATCTCAAAGTGTAACTCCAGGGCTTATATTTTTATCATTATTTCTCATTCTTCTGAGACTGGAAGGCATCTAATTTCATTGATTAAAATGCCTGGTTCAATGGTAGGCATTGGACTAAGAGCGATAGCCAGGGGAGGACCTTATATGCATTATGAGCTTTACCAGCTCATCAGCCAGTATATGCTCAGTTCTTGAAAACCAGATGAGAATCAAGATCTTGAAAAAACAGGTGTCAGCTGGATCCTTGGACAGAAAAAGACTGATAGCTAGAAGAAGAGGAATGTTGAAAAGGTTTGGGAAAGGAATGAAAGGCAACTGAGCCTACTTCCCCCAGGTGTCCTTAGGACCAGTCCAGAGAACATGCTTGTATTCAGCAAGAAAGTCCAAATATAACCAAAGAATAGCAGCAACCAGTGTAATGTTACTTTGGTTGGAGGAAAGCCAGGTTTGGGAAGTGCTGAAGGGAAATAACAGAGAGGCAAATCAGGAGTGGGGTTTCTCCCTCAGCTCCTGATTCCCGAGTTGTCATCCAAAGTCTAAATCCCTGTGGCTTTTCCCCAGACTTAGGAATAGAGCTCCGCAGAGGGAGAGAGAGAGAATACACATCTGGGAGGCAAATAAAAATAGCATTAGGGAAGAATTCTTTCTGGTCACTTACAATGCCAGTGTGGAGACAAGATGAAAACTATTTTAGTTTCGTGGCCTTGTGAACAGAGATGTTGGGGAAGAGTGAGCTTAGGCAATTCTGTGGACTGATTTTTACATCTCATTTCCTATGGAGGCTGACAAGTAGATTTTTTTTTTTTAAGATTTATTTTTATTATTTTGTTATTGGAAAGGTGGATGTACAGAGAGGAGAGACAGAGAGGAAGATCTTCCATCCGATGATTCACTCCCCAAGTGTGCGCAACGGGTCGATACTACGCCGATCCGAAGCCAGGAGCCTCTTCTGGGTCTCCCACGCGGGTGCAGGTTCCCAAAGCTTTGGGCCGTCCTCGACTGCTTTCCCAGGCCACAAGCAGGGAGCTGGAAGGGAAGCGGGGCTGCCGGGATTAGAACCAGCGCCCATATGGGATCCCAGGCGTGCAAGGCGAGGACCTTTAACCACTTGCGCCACCGCGCCGGGCCCGACAAGTAGATTTTAAGAGTTGTATGCAGTGCTTAGGAAATGGAAATGCTCTGTGTTAGTGCAGTGTTCATTTCACAAGATCTATCGGCACCTTCCACCAATAAAACATTGCACTGCATGACACCACTGAGAGCACAAAATGGTGAAGGGCACAGTTCCTTCTCTGGAAGAGACAGTTCGGTAGAAGTAAGGCTCATACAGTATCTAGTCATCAGTTAGGTGGGTTCTCAGGTCTCCTGAAAGTCAAGTCTGCCTCTGTTATATATCTGACATCACATCACATTGCATCCCTATTTTCACCTCTTGGATGTCTCTGAACTTCAGATTTTCATCGCTAAAATGAACCTCAAAGGATATTGTAAGGGTTGAATGCCATGACATTTTTAAAGTGCTGGTACATAGTCAGCACTCAGTTTGTATTAGCTGCTGTGGTGATCCTCATAATCATAGTGGTTATCATTGCACACTGAATTGTTTCCCATAAGAGCACTGGGGAAGTTCTGGAATGCCAAGGGGGAAGAGATTGTTTCCATCTGCAGGAATTAAAGACTTGACAAAGGAGGATTCCTCTTGCTTAGGTCTTCTGTGGGTTGAAGTTTGATTATTGGAGCTGGAGTGTAAAAGAAGAAGGTGTTCTCAGCAGAAGGAAGTAGCCTTAGCCAAGGCGTAAAGGTGAGAAAGTACAGGCCACATGTCTTGCAGCCCTGGTAGAGTCCACGTCGGCCTAGTGCAGAGTATCAGAAGGCTGAGATGTGGCCAGCTAGGCATGCCCCACTGTAGAGGTCTCCATGATTGACACCATTCTACTGAGTCTGGATTTTAGTAGTTCTGCTTCATGCAAATGCTGAGTGCTTCTGTAGATTAAAAAAATATTTCAGAAAGTTTCAAATGTACACAAGAATTGGAGTAGTGAGAATCATATAGTGAACTCCCAACTGCTTTCCAACTGATTCTTACAATCATCAACTCAGATTAATCTTGCTGATCTTTTTCTTTTCCTCCCATCTTTTCTTTTGTTGCTAGATTATTATGAAACTTAGATGCTTGTGGAGGCTGGTTTTTGTTT